CTATTATTTCAAAATTATATTTTAATTAATTCAAGTTAAGAGAAAAGTAATAGTACTGGGTTCAGTTCAGTTCAGTTCAGTTCAATTCAGTTCAGTCGCTCAGGGTGTCTGACTCTTTGCAACCCCATGAATCGCAGTGCATGCCAGGCCTCCCTGTCTGTCTAGGTTGGTCATAACTTTCCTTCCAAGGAGTAAGCGTCTTTTAATTTCATGGCTGCAGTCACCATCTGCAGTGATTTTGGAGCCCCAAAACATAAAGTCTGACACTGTTTCCACTGTCTCCCTATCTATTTCCCATGAGGTGATGGGGCCAGATTATATTATTTTAATTGAGAACAGTAAATAACAAGTAGCAAATCACTATTGTTTCTGCTGGCTCGTTATACTAACATTAGTCATGGTGAATTATTTTTATACTATCAGTGGAGGTGTTAAGATATGATACTACCAACATGAAGAATGAATCATTTCTCCAGCAGTTCAGTGTCTTGTAAATACTTCTGTTGTGACTTTTGAAATCATCATTATTCACGACATGTACATGCAAAAAAAGAGAGAAATTGTCATTTAATTCAATTGTTTAATAGAATATTGTAAATGTATTACATTCTCCGAGCAATGAAGATGGATTATTGAAGACAATGTCAGCCCTTCTTTTATCCTTCAGGTTTATCTTTTCCTCCATAAAGTATTCAATAGTTTGTTTTTAAAATCTATCTGCTTTATATTTCATTCTAAATTTTCACAAGGTAAACATAGACAATACCTATCATATCTTTGGAATTATATTTTACTTGGTGTGTTGTTTCATATAAGAAAAAATCTCATAATATTCCTAATATTAAATATTGAAAAATAAAAATATATTTACTTGTTCCATATAGAGAATATATGTTCCAGAATATAAGGATCAACACATTATATACACCTATGTATTGCAGTGTTAAAATACATCTTTCAGTCTCTTTCTATATTTAAATTTTGAGTTTTATAAGCAAAGAAAATTATGCCCAAATACACATTCAGGAATGGGGGCAATAGAAGAAACATTTGTTTTACTATTTTTTTTTAAACAAGTTTGGAAATTAATATATATCTTTTTTTGAGAGAACTAGGAAATTAGTATTCTAAATGGATAATTTATTTTAAAAAAAAGAAAATATGTTTTTAGATAATTTTCTACTTCAGGATCTTATTTCAAAATAATAGAATGATCCTAAAACTTCATCAATAGTGGCTTGTGAGGCCCACTTAATTTACAAATATTGTGGTGGAAATTCAGATTATAAACCTACCCCTTGAAACTGAAGAAGCGAATTTGTCTAGAACACAGCTTTGATGCTAGCAATTTAAACTATTTTTGGTTTATACACAAAATCAGTTACATGAATTGGACAACAGGGAGAGATAATTAATTTATCCGCATCTCATGACTAATGCTGCAATGCTATAACAACGGTGATTATACAGCATTTGAAGGGGATGACAGAGGGTAAAGATGGTTGGATGGCGTCACTGACTGGATGGACATGAGTTTGAGTAAGCTTTGGGAGTTGGTGATGGACAGGGAAGCCTGGTGCGCTGAAGTCCATGGGTTCACAAAGAGTTGGACGCAACTGAGCAAATGAACTGAACTGACTCCAGAAGTTGATAAGTGATTCTTCTCCAGTTGCTGACAAATATAGTGATAACATCACCATTCCATTCTTTCAGTTAATGAGAATACTGAAAAGTACTAGATATATTTTTAAAGATTAAATAGGTGCAAAATTACATAGTAAATAGTTTATAAAAATTGATCTATGTTTAAAAAATATTATATTATCTTTTACTATTTACATGATGTGTGCGCTGTCACTCAGTTGCATCCAACTCTTTGTGACTCCATGGACTGTAACCTGCCAGGCTCTTCTGTCCATGGGACTTTCCAGTCAAGAATACTGGAGTGGGTTGCCATTTCTTCCTCCAGGAGATCTTCCTGACCCAAGGATTGAACATGACCCAGGGATCGAACCCATGTCTCTTGCATCTCCTATCATGGCAGGTAAGTTCTTTACCTCTAGTGCCACCTAGGAAGCCCTATTCACATGATAGTGATATATAAATTGAATATATATGATTGACATATAGATAAGTATATGGGAAAGGACATTTTGTAGTATATGGACAGTTTATAGTACATCAAGGTAAAAAATGCTAATGTTTCTTTATATCTCACAGATTTGAAACAATGATGAATGAATTTCTAATTTTGTGACTGTTCAAAACAAGTTTAAGAAAGGAAAAAAAAAAGCAAAACAAACAAACTAGAATCAGAAGAGCCATTAAACTACCTTTAGAAACAATCTTTAAGAAACAAAAGGGACATAATTGATAATAAAAAGTACTGTTTATTTAACTCATAAATTATGCTAAACACAATTTTTTACATAAATATTTCACTTATACTCTCAAGAACCCTTTGAAATAGATAATATTATTATCCTCCTGTTATAGGTGAGAAAGCTGAGTAAAAATGAAATCAAGTAGTTTCTGTAGGTCACACAACTAGCAAATAGTGGAGTTGAATTTATGATCCTGGTCTGTCAGATTCTAGGGCCAGAGAGTTTTTATACTATGCTGAGTGTGTGAGACATTCTACCCAGCAACTTCATCTTTATACCCTCTTTGTCAAAAATTCCATTTTCTTACATTTTAGATTTAAGATATGGTAAATAATTCTATTTTACTTTTTAGAAAATAAATTTGAATATATATAAAAGCAGTGATTGAAAAACATATAGAAGTAAAATTTATTTGGTTTGGTTAAATAGTGCCACTCAATTATAAGGTATTCTGAAGTTTCTAGTCTATGTCTAGAAGGAACTTTGGACAATACCATCCTTCAGAGAGCAGAGCATCCATTTCTGGGGGCAGTACTGCTTGTTGAGTGGTACAGATAGGAAAGAAGGAGACTAGTGCCATGGAATGAGGGTCAGGCGTCCATTCAGTAATGCACTACAAATAAATTATAGCACAGTAAACTATTGTGAACATCTAGAACAAGTGGAGTGCCTAAAAAATATTATATTGCACTAACTATGTTACCATACCACAAACCCAAAATTACTAGGAAGCTGATTTTAGAAAACATGCATGAACCTCCAATTTATTTTATTAAAATAAATCTGTAGGTGTTATATTTTGGTGAATATTGGAGCATAGATCACTTATAATGCTGTGTTAGTTTCTGCTGTATGGCAAAGTGAGTCAGTTATACATACACATATACCTATATTCATTTTTTTAGACTCTATTCCCATATATGTCATTACAGAGTTTTAAGTAGAGTTCCCCGTGCCATGCAATAGGTTTTTATTATCTATTTTATATATAGTCAGTTCACTTCAGTTGTTCAGTTGTGTCTGATTCTTTGCAATCCCGTGGACTGCAGCATGCCAGTAGTGTGTATATATCAATCCCAGTTTATTCTTTTCATTCCCCCTTTGCCCCTTAGTAATGATGTTGGTTTTCTACATCTGTGACTCTGTTCTCTATTTTGTAAATAGGTTCATTTGTACCATTTTTTTTTTAGATTCCATATATAAGTGATATGATATTTGTCTTTCTCTGTCTTCACACAGTATGACAATTTCTAGGTCCATCCATGTCACTGCAAACAGCATTATTTTGCTATTTCTTTATGACTGAATGATTATATATATATATTCACAAGATCTCCTTTATCCACTAAGGAAACTATAAACAAAACAAAAAGACAGCTCACAGAATAGGAGAAAATATTTGCAAATGGAGGGACTGTCAAGGGATTAAGTTCCAAAATGTAAAACCAATTCAAGCAGCTCAATATAAAAAAATCCAATCAATTCTATAAAAAATGTGAAGATCTAAATAGACAGTTCTCTAAAGAAGATACAGAGATGGCCAAGAGGCACATGAAAAGATGCTCGATTAACCCTAATTATCAGAGAAATTCAACTCAAAACTACAATGATGTATCACCTCACACTGGTGAGAATGGCCATCATTAAAAAAATCTATAAACAATAAATTCTGGAGAGAGTGTGAAGAAAAGGGGACCCTCCTACATTCTTAGAAAATAAATTAGTATAGCCACTATGGAGAACAGTATGGAAGTTCCTTGAAAAACTAAAAATAGAGCTACCAAATGATCCCTCAATCCTACTCCCTGGCATATATCTATAGAAAACTTTAATTCAAAAAGATACATGCACTCTGAAGTTCATTGAAACACTATTTACATTAGCCAGCATATGGAAGCAACTTAAATTTCCATCAATGGAGAAATGGATTTAGTCTTCAATTTAAAGTAATAGTATAACTCAAAATATTCTCAGGCTTCTGTTTCTGAACCAAACTTGGGTCCACTTGCCTGTATTGCAGTCAATCTACCTGCACTCCATTGTGATGGAGGAAAGTAGAGTGATATTGCAGAGGCAAGTAAGGAGAAAGGGCAGCTCATGCTCATAATATCCAAACTTCTCCAAGGTTTTCAGGGAAGGGTTTTCAGAGAGAAAATGAGGGAGAGGGTGGAGGATATATGATCAGCTCACACACAATTTTCTGATTAGTGGATAGTGAGGTAACCAGGTGAGGTCCCTGGAGTCAACATTATCAGTAATCAGACTCCAGCCAGTCTGAAGGCTCTGTGCTCATGGTCATCATGCAGTTAGCATCTTCCACCTGGTGTGTGTTTTAGTATCTATAAAACACCACCAGGATATGGCTCAGGATATTATCGATAGCATTTGAGGAGGAGATAAATGTCCTTGACTTTATTTTATGACTAAATTATTTTTATTTTGTCCTGTTTGACTGTTTTCCTTTGTTTCTGCATTTTCTCATTTCTCTGATTAAATTTTCTCTTTGGAAATCAGAGAAATTCTAGGATACTAAAGTTTTTCTACCAAAAAGAGGCAAGGCAAATAGGAAGGGGGAAGGGTCCATCCTTGGAAATGTCCCACAAGATTCTGCTCAGTTTCACTTCTGCTCTATATTTTAGTGGCCACTGTACTTTAATTTCCCAAAAAGGAATTCGTTGGCTCAAATTTAAAAAGGATGTGTAAAAATGATATTAACAACTTTATATAAAATTTTGTATAATATTTATGTAGCAGATTCTTTTTGACTTACAACTACTGGTGTATAAGTCGCTTCTTAAAATCTTAGTTTACTGCCATAATTTGTAAGGAAAAAATAGCAAATAACTATTTAAATAACAGTTTTTTTTTTCTTTTTCTTTCTCCCTCTCCTTTTCTTTTAATACACAGGTCTAATGAGGTGCAAAGGCTATTGCATTTTGTCAAGCTTATCTAAAGCATACATTCTTCATCTCTCCTTCATGCCACAGTGAATTAAGTAGATAAACATGTCATAGGAAATTAAGATGGATGATAAGCTTGTTGGCACCATCTTGAAGGCACAAGACGTCATCACCGTCTCCACAGGTATTTGGCTAAAACACTCTGCCCTCACATTGTCAAGCAGCACCTTGAAGAAATATCATATACACACTGTTGAAAGCAAGAGGAAGTCAAAGAAAATATGACTCATAGTTTACTTATTGCATACATAATATGGTCTTGACATGAACTTGAAAAGATTGAATAAAACATGCACAATACTTAACACTTATTTACAGAAATTAATTCAAGCAACTTAATGGATTAGAAAATACTTTTTTTCTTTATTTTGTAGATAAGGTCACAGAAGAAAAGGAGAGATAAATTAGTTGCCCTCACTTTCATAAAGATCTAAGTCTAAATGTATTTTACTGTCTTTATTTGTTTATATGAAAGAATATTTAAAATATTAATATAAAATCAAAGAGGAAAATATTTTTTATTTTTGCATAAAATCCAAATCATTTAGAAAGATGGTGCAGTATAGTTTAGACAATTGTTCTTTTTTCTTTTTTTCTTTCTTTTTTTTTTTTAATGGCAAAGCCAGCTATACTTAGGGAAAACTGAATGTTAGAATAATTCTCATGTCATTTCAAAGACTAATTTGAGAACAGCCTCTTCATTAAAAGATATACAAAGAAACAGTCAAAATTAAAACAAACAAGCAAAAAGGACTGCTAATATTTGCTGGAGATATACTTCACCATTTTTTTCTTTTCCTGAGAATATTTACATAATTGAAAATGTTGACTGTAAATGAGACACATAATGCTAATGAAATGACAACTTGGAGAAACATTAGCAAAGTTCCTTGAACAGGAATTCAAACAGGGCTTCCATGGTTGTCCATTGGCTAAGAATCCACTTGCCGAAGCAGGGGCACAGGTTCGATCTCTAGTCTAGAAGGATTCCACATGCCTCAGGCAACTACGTCCCTTCACCACACATGCCTCAAATACTGAGCCCAGATGTTCTAGAGATCATATTCCTCAACAAGAGAAGTCACCAAAATGAGAAGCCCACTCATCTCAACCAGAGAGTAGCCCTTGTTCACCACAGAGGGAAGCCTGTGTGCAGGAACAAAGGGCCAGCAAGCCAAAAATAAATGAATAAATAAATGACTTTTAAAAAGAAGTATTCAGACAAATTATATTTTAGCAAGTGAGAGACACTAATATAGAGCTTGTCTTTCCTTCCTTCTTTCCTTCCTTCATTCGCCCTTCTCTCATCCATCCACTCTATCTATCTATCCATTGATCCATGTATGTTTGCAAAGTCACTTCAGCTGTGTCCGACTTTTTGTGACCGTATGGACTGCAGCCCTCCAGGATTCCTATGTCCACAGGATTCTCCAGGCAAGAATGCTGGAGTGGGTTGGCATGCCCTCCTCCCGGGGATCTTCCCAACCCAGGGATTGAATCTACATCTCTTGGGTCTCCTGCATTGACAGGCAGATTCTCTACCACTAGCACCACCTGGGAAGCCCATCCATCCGTATACCTACCTAACAATTTTAGTGAGCTGTTTTGTGTTACTCATAATTCTCATCTTTCCTCACATAATACACAGTTCAGTTCAGTTCAGTCACCCAGTTGTGTCTGACTCTTTGGTACCCCATGGACTGCAGAACGCCAGGCTTCCCTGTCCATCACCAACTCTCAGAGCTTGCTCAAACTCATGTCCATTGAGTTGGTGTTGCCATCCAACTATATCAGCCTCTGTTGAGCCCTTCTCCTTCCACCTTCAATCATTCACAACATTAGGGTCTTTTCAAATGAGTTAGTTCTTCACATCAGGTGGCCAAAGTATTGGAGTTTCAGCTTCAGCATCAGTACTTTCAATGAATACTCCGGACTAATTCCCTTTGAAATGGGCTGGTTGGATCTCCTTGCAGTCCAAGGGACTCTCAACAGTCTTCTCCAACAACACAGTTCAAAAGCATCAATTCTTCAGTGCTCAGTTTTCTTTATAGTCCAACTCTCACATCCATACATGACTACTGGGAAAACCAAAGTTCTAAATGAGTGGATCTTTGTTGGCAAAGTAATGTCTCTGCTTTTTAATATGCTGTCGAAGTTGGTCATAACTTTTCTTCCAAGGAGCAAATGTCTTTTAATATCATGGCTGCAGTCACCATCCGCAGTGCTTTTGGAGCACAAAAAAATAACGTCTGTCACTGTTTCCACTGTTTCCCTATCTATTTGCCATGACCAGATGCGATGCCATAATCGTAGTTTTCTGAATGTTGAGTATTAAGCCAACTTTTTCACTCTCCTCTTTCACTTTCATCAAGAGGCTCTTTAGTTCCTTTTTAGTTCCTCAAGGTTGGTGTCATCTGCACATCTGAGGGTATTGATATTTCGCTCAGTAATCTTGAGTCCAGCTTGTGTTTCATCCAGTTCAGCATTTCTCATTATGTACTCTGCATATAATTTAAATAAGCAGGGTGACAATGTACAGCCTTGACTCACTCTGTCCTCAATTTGGAACCAGTCTGTTGTCCCATATCCAGCTCTAACTGTTGCTTCCTGATCTGCATACATATTTCTCAGGAGGCAGGTCAAAGGCTTTGGGCATAGTCAATAAAGCAGAAGTAGATGTTTTTTTCTGGACTCTTTCCCTTTTTTGATGCTCCAGCAGATGTTGGCAATTTGATTTCTGGTTCCTCTGCCTTTTATAAATCTAGCTTGAACATCTGGAAATCCACAGTTCACATACTGTTGAAGCCTGGCTTGGAGAATTTTCAGCATTACTTTACTAGCAGGTGAGATGAATGCAATTCTGTAGTAGTTTGAACATTCTTTGGCATTGCCTTTCTTTGGGATTGGAATGAAAACTGACTTTTCCAGTCCTGTGGCCACTGCTGAGTTTTCCAAATTTTCTGGCACATTGACTGCAGAACTTTTATAGCATCATCTCTTAGGAACTGAAATAGCTCAACTGGAATTCCATCACTTCCAGTAGCTTTGTTCATAGTGATGCTCCCTTAGGCCCACTTGACTTCACATTCCAGGATGTCTGGCTCTAGGTGAGTGATCACACCATCGTGATTATCTGGGTCATGAAGATCTTTTTTATACAGTTCTGTGTATTCTTGCCATCTCTTCTTAGCATCTTCTGCTTCTGTTAGGTCCATACCATTTCTGTCCTTTATTGTGCCCATCTTTACATGAAATGCTCCCTTAGTATATCTCATTTTCTTGAAGAGATCTCTAGTCTTTCCCATTCTATTATTTCCTCTATTTCTTTGCACTGAACACCGAGGAAGGCTTTCTTATCTCTCCTTGTTATTCTTTGTAACTATGCATTCAAATGGGTGTATCTTTCCTTTGCTCTTTTGCCTTTAGCTTCTCTTCTTTTCACAGCTATTTGTAAGTCCTCCTCAGACAACCATTTTGCCTTTTTCCATTTTTTTTTCCTTGGAGATGGTCTTGATTACTGCCTTCTGTACAATTTCAGGAACTTCCATCCATAGTTCTTCAGGCACTCTGTCTNTTCTTACCCACAGTAGTAGATATAACGGTCGTCTGAATTAAATTCACCCATTCCAGTCCATTTTAGTTCACTGATTCCTAAAATGTCGATGTTCAGTCTTGCCATCTCCTGTTTGACCACTTCCAATTTGCCTTGATTCATGGACCTAATATTCCATGTTCCTATGAAGTATTGTTCTTTACTGCATCAGACTTTACTTCCATAACCAGTCCCATCCACAACTGGGTGGTGTTTTTACTTCATTCTCTCTGCAGTTGTTTCTCTACTGCTATCCAGTACCATATCGGGCACTTACCAATCTGGGGAGTTCATCTTTCAGTGTCCTATCTTTTTGCCTTTTTCATACTGTTCATGGGGCCTTCAAGGCAAGAATACTGAGGTGATTTGCCATTCCCTTCTCCAGTGGACTATGATTTGTCAGAACCCTCCACCATGTCCTGTCCATTTCAGGTAGCCTACATGGCATGGCTCATAGTTTCATTGAGTTAGACAAGGCTGTGGTCCATGTGATCAGATTGGTTAGTTTTCTGTGTTTGTGGTTTTCACTGTGTCTGCCCTCTAATGGAGAAGGATAAGAGGCTTATGGAATCTTCCTGATAGGAGAGACTGACTGAGGGGGAAACTGGGTCTTGTTCTGATGGGCAGGGCCATGCTCAGTAAATCTTTAATCCAATTTTCTGTTGATGGGCAGGGCTGTGTTCCCTCCCTGTTGTTTGACCTGAGGCCACACTATTGTGGAGGTAATAAAGATAATGGTGACCTCCTCAAAAGGTGCCATGCAAGCACTGCTGTGAACTGCAGTGACCCCAACCCACAGGAGGCTACTGTAGACCCACGCCTTCCCTGAAGACTTCTGGACTCTCATTGGCAAGTCTGGGTCAGTCACTTGCGGGATCACTACTCCTTTCTCCTGGGTCCTGGTGCACACAAGTTTTTTGTTTTTTTTTTAAACCCAGATGAAACTTTTTAGTCAACTCAATATATACTATATTTATATTCTCATATATAACATATAATAGCTCACAGCTCACTCATATACACATAAACATGAAGCAAACTACCCTGAACTGCTTGCTTTTTCACTTTCTCTTCTGTGAACTCCTGCTAACTCATGTTCTTTTCAACCTAAGAAATGCATATTAACTATCTTTCATTACTATCATTTAGATATAAATTTAACTTGTCAAGTGTTTGTGTTTTAAGCCTCCAAGTCAAATGTTGGATTTCAAAGAGTGGACTGTGCCAAGAACACTATATTTATAACTTGGGGGAGTACTTTCCACATGGAAGAAATTAAATATTATTGATGAAGTGATTTTTTTTTTCTTTTGAAGGATGAAACTACTGAAACTGATTGTTTTCACCCTATCCCCTACCCTCTATAATGATATCATGAAGACAGGAAATATTAAATGAATAACCACTAACAAAATATCTTTTAATAAGGTAAGTTGCTGAGGACATGGAGTAATCTGATCTTGCTTTGCATAGAATGTATCAGAGAATCTGAGATGTACTTGAAACCTTTGATGTAAAATTTACCTTTGAATTTCTATTATGCTAACCTTAGAAGAGTAGTTGGCTCTCTTTGTATTTCACATGAAAATTCTTCATCCTGGCAGCTTTGAAAATACAAACATAATTTTATGAAGACAAATGCTACAGTCAAGTACCATAAAAACAAACGAAAGTGCTGGCCCAAACCCGTTGCTTAGCAATCACATGTTTATAGTCTAGAGCAACTTGTGCTATTAGTTTATAATATTCATAATGTCTTTCAAGATTTTAAACATTACCAGCCAAACTTTATGGCCACCAGTTGCAGAGCTTTGTAATTAATACTGATATAATTTTTCCCCATAGCCTTATATAGGACTGGAAAATGAGAACATCTGAATATATGAAATATTTGCATCTGAAGAAACATATTACCAGGTTGTTTATTAAGAATGTGTTTGTGTCTAGTTTAGTATCAGTTCAGTCCAGTTCAGTTCAGTTCAATAACTCAGTCGTGTCCTACTCTTAGAGACTCCATGGACTGCAGCACACCAGGCCTCCCTATCCATCACCAACTGTCAGAGTTTATTCAAACTAATGTCCATTGAGTCAGTGATGCCATCCAACCTCTCAACCTCTGTCAGCACCTTCTCCTCCTGTCTTCAATCTTTCCCAGCATCAGGGTCTTTTCAAAGGGGTCAGTTCTTCGCATCAGGTGGCCAAAGTATTGGAAAGTCAGCTTCAGCATCAGTCCTTCTAATGAATATTCAGGACTGATTTCCTTTAGGATTGACTGGTTTGATCTTGCTGTCCAAGGGACTCTCAAGAGTCTTCTCCAACACCACATTTCAAAAGCAACAGTTCTCCAGCACCCAGTTTTCTTTATAATCCAACTCTCACATGACTACTGGAAAAACCATAGCTTTGATTAGATGGACCTTTGTTGGCAAAGTAATGTCTCTGCTTTTTAATATGCTGTCTAGGTTGGTCATAACTTTCCTTCCAAGGAGTAAGCGTCTTTTAATTTCATGGCTGCAATCACTATCTACAGTGATTTTGGAGTCCAAGAAAATAAAGTCTGTCAGTGTTTCTGTTGTTTCCAAAAATCTTTGCCATGAANAGATGTTTTTCTGGAACTCTCTCATTTTTTCCATGATCCATTGGATGTTGGCAATTTGATCTCTGGCTCTTCTGCCTTTTCTAAATCCAGCTTGAACATCTGGAAGTTCGTGGTTCACGTACTGTTAAAGCCTGGCTTAGAGAATTTTCAGCATTACTTTACTAATGTGTGAGATGAGTGCAATAGTGTTGTAGTTTGAACATTCTTTGGCATTGCCTTTCTTTGGAATTGGAATGAAAACTGACCTTTTCCAGTCCTGTGGCCACTGCTGAGTTTTCCGAATTTGCTGGCATATTGAGTGTAGCACTTTCACAGCATCACCTTTTAGGATATGAAATAGTGCAACTGGAATTCCATCACATCCTTCGACTAGCTTTATTCATAGTGATGTTTCCTAAGGCCCACTTGACTTTGCATTACAGGTTGTTGGTGTCTGGTTGTAGGTGAGTGATCACACCATCGCGATTATCTGGGTCGTGAAGATATTTTTTGTACAGTTCTTCTGTGTATTCTTGCCACTTCTTCTTAGTATCCTCTGCTTCCATTAGGTCCATACAATATCTGACCTTTATTGTGCCCACCTTTGTTTGAAATGTTCCCTTGGTATCTCTAATTCTCTTGAAGAGATCTCTAGACTTTTCCGTTCTATTGTTTCCTATATTTCTTTGCATTGGTCACTGAGGAAGGCTTTCTTATCTCTCTTTGTTATTCTTTGGAACTTTGCATTCAAATACAAATATCTTTCCTTTTCTCCATTTCCTTTTGCTTCTCTTCTATTCACAGCTGTTTGTAAGGCCTTCTCAGACAACCATTTTAGCTTTTTCCATTTCTTTTTCTTAGGGATGGTCTTGATCCCTGTCTCCTGTACAACGTCATGAACCTCATCCATTGTTCTTCAGGCACTCTATCAGAAGTAATCCCTTGAATCTATTTGTCACTTCCATTGTATAATCATAAGAGTTTTGACTCTGGTCATACCTGAATGGTCTAATGGTTTTCCCTTCTTTCTTCAATTTAAGTCTGGGTTTGGCAGTGAGGAGTTCATGGTCTCTGCCACAGTCAGCTCCCAGTCTTGTTTTTGCTGACTGTATAGAGCTTCTCCATCTTTGGCTGCAAAAATAATAATCAGTGTGATTTTGGTATAGACCATCTGGTAATGTCCATGTGTAGAGTCTTCTCTTGTGTTTTTGGAAGAGGGTGTTTGCTATGACCAGTGCATTCTCTTGGTAAAACTATTAGCTTTTGCCCTGCTTCATTCTGTACTCCATGGCCAAATTTCCCTGTTACTCCAGGTATTTCTTGACTTCCTACTTTTGCATTCCTGTCTCCTATAATTAAAAGGGCATCTTTTTTTAATGTTATATATACCCTACCGTTATTCTACATACTTTCACATAGATGTCTGTAACATCTGTAAAAATTTCACTTTTCAGAACCAATTAACTTCATAGATCAGTGGTTAAAGTGTGCTGTGCCATGTGCTTAGTCAATCAGTCATGTCCAGCTCTTTGCAACCCCAGGGACTGTAGCACGCCAGAGTCTGCTGTCCATGGGGATTCTCCAAGCAAGAATACTGGTATGGGTTTCCATGCCCTCCTCCAGGTGATCTTCCCAACCCAGGTATTGAAGCTAGGTCTCCCACATTGCAGGTGGATTCTTTACCATCTGAGTCACACTTGAATATAGTGTGATTAGTGACATAGGTAATTTGCAGTCAGAAGACGTGTTTAAAGTCACAGTTATGTCTTTTATTAATTCCATAACATATTTTAGTGACCATAGTGATTTTGAAAGTAAAACAAAACAGAACAAAAACAATAGCAATACCAATAATAGTAGCAGCAGTATTAACAGTAAGTCACTAAGTAATATTTATATGCCATTTATTATACTTAGCATGTCAACTTGAAGATTGATATAAAGATATATATATATATATATATAGTGAAAAAAGTTAGATAATAGAAAACACCTTTAAATACTAATATCTATAAATTATATATAAAATAATATTTAGTGGACACATTTTCTTCCAGGTACTGCTCCAAATGCTTCAAATACATCATTAATTTAACAATTCTTATTATACTCTCCATTTTACAAACAAGAAATAGCTTCAATGACTTGTCCAAAGACACAAGTCTTATAGAAGTCATGCTCTTAAGTCTGATTCTGGAGCCTATAGTTTTTTTTATGACACTTAAAAATGCAGTTTGTCAATGACATAACAGTTATTCAGAAACATTCAAGATCATCAAAATACTGACACCAGGATTCAATGGAACTAGTAATATAGAATTTGCTATCCTCACAAAAGTGAATATGTAAATCTAAAAAAAAAATCACTGAAAAATTTAATGTGAAATATAATTTATCTCATAGATGTTGACCAACTTAATGTTGCATAGGGAGTGTGAGCATCATTAACCATTTTATATATACCCTACCGTTATTCTACATACTTTCACATAGATGTCTGTAACATCTGTAAAAATTTCACTTTTCAGAACCAATTAACTTCATAGATCAGTGGTTAAAGTGTGCTGTGCCATGTGCTTAGTCAGTCAGTCATGTCCAGCTCTTTGCAACCCCAGGGACTGTAGCACGCCAGAGTCTGCTGTCCATGGGGATTCTCCAAGCAAGAATACTGGTATGGGTTTCCATGCCCTCCTCCAGGTGATCTTCCCAACCCAGGTATTGAAGCTAGGTCTCCCACATTGCAGGTGGATTCTTTACCATCTGAGTCACACTTGAATATAGTGTGATTAGTGACATAGGTAATTTGCAGTCAGAAGACGTGTTTAAAGTCACAGTTATGTCTTTTATTAATTCCATAACATATTTTAGTGACCATAGTGATTTTGAAAGTAAAACAAAACAGAACAAAAACAATAGCAATACCAATAATAGTAGCAGCAGTATTAACAGTAAGTCACTAAGTAATATTTATATGCCATTTATTATACTTAGCATGTCAACTTGAAGATTGATATAAAGATATATATATATATATATATAGTGAAAAAAGTTAGATAATAGAAAACACCTTTAAATACTAATATCTATAAATTATATATAAAATAATATTTAGTGGACACATTTTCTTCCAGGTACTGCTCCAAATGCTTCAAATACATCATTAATTTAACAATTCTTATTATACTCTCCATTTTACAAACAAGAAATAGCTTCAATGACTTGTCCAAAGACACAAGTCTTATAGAAGTCATGCTCTTAAGTCTGATTCTGGAGCCTATAGTTTTTTTTATGACACTTAAAAATGCAGTTTGTCAATGACATAACAGTTATTCAGAAACATTCAAGATCATCAAAATACTGACACCAGGATTCAATGGAACTAGTAATATAGAATTTGCTATCCTCACAAAAGTGAATATGTAAATCTAAAAAAAAAATCACTGAAAAATTTAATGTGAAATATAATTTATCTCATAGATGTTGACCAACTTAATGTTGCATAGGGAGTGTGAGCATCATTAACCATCTTTAACAACAAGCCAAGTATTTTATGTCAAATTTCAACATTTTTTTTCTTGGAGTAGTTAGATGCAATAAGAATGAAGAATTTTGTGAAATACAATAAAAAGTTCAAAAAATCAAATGCAAGATGTTTTGAGAACTAGATAGATATTTTTATATATTTTCTCTTTATATATTTACTCTTAATAGTTAATATGCCTATTAATTTATTACATTGCTGAAATCATGTTTTGTCCATTTGTTTAAATGTCAGTTATTTATTTAAAAGATATTTGTTTAAGTATTGTTAGTAAATATACTTTTAATTATTCAAATATTGTTTCATATCAGTTTACCCTAACTTCATGATTTTAGACTACTTAATCTACCAAATGATTTACTATTATGATTAATAACAAAGAAAATATCCCTAAACATTAAATATACCTATACATTTTATATATACTGTATCCTTAGGATAGAGTTTTAGAATAAGGCTTATTAACAAGTACACTTTGAAAAATAACTTTAATGAAGTATAAATAATATTAAAAACAAATTATAAGTATACACAATTTGCTGACTTTTGACTTTCATGTTATCACAACTTCCTTCAAGATTTAGGACATATCTATCTCTTGAAACATTTACTTGACTCATTAGTCAACATCCCTTCCTTTGCAAGGAAGCAACTATGCTGCTCCATGTCACTGTGGATTATTTTTACCACTTTCAGACCTTTATGTAAATGGAATCATACTCTGTGTACCCTTTGCATACATCTTCTTTTGCACATCAAAATGATTTTAAATTGTATCCATTCTCTTGTGTGTATCAGTAGTCCTTTCACTTTCATTGCTGAATAATAACATTGTATAAATGTACTACCATTTGTTTGTTAATCCACATTCAGTGGAAATTTGACTTTTCCTCAGTTTCTCATTATTATCAGTAAAGTTTCTCTAAATACCTAAATAAATTATTTTTATGGATATGTGTTTTTAAGTCCTTTTGGCAATAAAAGTGCAATTTTTGAGTGACGTGTTAATTGTGTGTGTATTTAAATAACAAAAAACAAACAAACAAACAAAAAAACCCCAAAGAACTGCTAACGCTTTTCTAAAATGGTTATAGCATGCTACACAACACCTGCATAATAGGAAGTTCCAATTACTCTACAGTTTTGTCAACAATTAGTTACTTGTTATTTTAATTTTAGTTTTATTTTAGCATGTGTGTAGTGGTGTTTAAATTTGTCTATTTGGATTTTTCATTGATAACATGATTTTGAATTATTTTTATATTATAATTTAACAGCTTTTACGTATATTTATTAACCGTCTGTATACTGTATCTTGAAATAATTAGCAATGAATTATCTCAGCAAAATGCTCTTTTACTTCATATTTAAAGATATAAATGTTATTTCGTTTTTGGTGTTTAAATGTGTTATTTCACTGCTCCTGACTTTCCGTATTTCTCTTGAGAAATCTGTTGCATACTTGTTTTGTTTACTTTTATGTGTATGTCTCACGCAAGACTTCTCATTATCACTTCTTTTCACTGAATTTATTTTATCCAGTGGTGTGTGCTTATCCTGTTTAAAGTTTGCTTAGTTTCTTGGAATTATGGGCTTATAATGGAGGAGGAAAGGAACAGACCGAGCTGACTCCATCTGAAAAAGAAGGAAACTCCATCTTACATTCCCAGTAAACTTTAGACTATGTGCCTGGTAGGCATGGAGATCACATATCTACAGCTGAACAGGCCCCCTAGATTCATAGACACCAGATTCCATACCAAGATTTCCCTTCACCAGAAAGAATATAATAAACTCCTATTTGTAGATCACCTTTGTAATCTTTAGGGAACCCATTGGTGTAGGTTGCAATGTATAACCAGCTGACCCTTCTGATTATGAATCATGGCTGTAACCTGATTGTATCTCCCTTTAACATTTTCCATGCTCAGTTAAGTTCAGTTCAGTCTCTCAGTGGTGTCTGACTCTTTGTGACCCCATGACCTGCAGCATGCAAGGCCTCCCTGTCCATCACCAACTCTCGGAGTTAACTCAAACTCATGTCCATTGAGTCGGTGATTACATCCAACAATCTCTACCTCTGTTGTCCCCTTCTTCTCCCGCCTTCAATCTTTCCCACCATCAGAGTTTTTTCAAATGAATCAGTTGTTTGCATCAGGTAGGCAAAGTATTGGAGTTTCTGCTTCAGCATCAGTCCTTCCAATCAATATTCAAGACTGATTTCNTGGTGTCTTCTGCATATCTGTGGTTATTGATACTTCTCCCAGCAATTTTGATTTCAGCTTGTGATTCATCCAGCCCAGCGTTTCTCATGATGTACACTGAATATAAGTTAAATAGGCAGGGTGACAATATACAGCTTTGACGTACTCCTTTTCCTAGTTTGAACCAGTCTGTTGTTTTAGCTCCAGTTCTAACTGTTGCTTACTGACCTGCATACAGAGTTCTCAGGAGACTGGTCAGGTGGTCTGATATTCCCATCTCTTGAATAATTTTCCACAGTTTATTGTGATCCACACAGTCAAAGGCTTTGGCATAGTCAATAAAGCATAAATAGACTTTTTTTTTTTTTTTTTCTGGAACTCTCTCCCTTTTTCAATGCTCCAACCAATGTTGGCAATTGTATCTCTGGTTCCTCTTCATTTTCTAAACAAGCTTGAACATCTGGAAGTTCATGGTTCACATACTGTTGAAGTCTGGCTTGAAGAATTTTGTGCTTTACTTCACTAGTGTGTGAGATGAGTAAAATTGTGCAGTAGTTTGAGCATTCTTTGGCATTGCCTTTCTTTGGGATTGGAATGAAAACTGACCTTTTCCAGTCCTGTGGCCACTGCTGAATTTTCCAAATTTGCTGGCATATTGAATGTAGCAATTTCACAGCATCATCTTTTAGGATTTGAAATAGTGCAACTGGAATTCCATCACCTCCACTAGCTTTGTTCATAGTGATTCTTCCTAAGGGCCACTTGACTTTGCATTTCAGGATGTCTGGCTCTAGGTGAGTGATCACACCTTCGTGATAATCTGGGTTATGAAGACATTTTTTGTATAGTTCTGTGTATTCTTGCCATCTCTTCTGAATATCTTTTGCTTTTGTTCGGTCCATACCATTTCTGTCCTTTATTTTCCAGGCTAGGTTTAAGGGATTTGAGTAAACAGCTTAGCAAGGTCTGGCAGGCCCCAGGTGTGTGCTGACATAATTGTACCAGGTTTGAGTTCTATTACCACCGGGACTTGTTTTTCAAGCCTGGGGGGGTTGTCTTCTGCCCAGACCTCAGGGAATTTTTGAGTTAACTCTCTCTCTCTCTGTGTTTAGCCCACCTGGTTTCCCTTCTGGGAGATCGTGCAACCTCCATTCATCTTGAAAGGTTACCGAGAGGAACAGCTGACGGGTGGTTGAGCCCACTCAAAGAGTGGGTCTTTCATGGGGGAAAGGTCATTTGTGTCCCCAATTTAGACAGCAAGGCTCTTCCCAACAAAGGTACTGGGCATTCAGGGATGTATAAAAATTCATGAGTCACTTGATGTCCCCCCATCTGACATTTTTGAGGTAGGTTTGAAACACAAAGCCTGCATTTATCACCATCTGAGAGCCAGCAGGCTCTGGATCTAATGGCATTTAAAGTCTATAGGCCTCGCACAGTCTTTCGTAGAACTCAGAAGGTGATTCTCTTTCCCTTTGAATCACTTCAGAGGGTTTTGCCATACTCATAGGTTTTCAGGCCCCCCTCTTGAGGCCTTGTAATATAGTCACCCGATGTCTCTTCAGGTGGCCCTCCCTTCCTCTGTGTTACAGTCCCAATCGGGCCTCTCATCGGCGGGTGGCTGGTTCTCCCACCACTGTGGGTTTGCAGTACCCTCGGGTGCTGTTTCTCTGAACCATTTTCTAGCCTCAGTTAGGATCCTATGTCTTTCTTCAGGGCTGAAAAGGGAGACTAGTAGTTGGATTATGTCATCCCATGTAGGGCGGTTCAAAAAATAGTCTCCATTAGCCTACACAATGGCGTGTGGCTCCTCCGAGTACTGTGGAGCATGTCTCTGCCAGTTTAATATATCCGTAGAGGAAAGTGGCTGGTAATAATAGACTACAGTTGGGGGGAGGGGGGAGATGGTAGTGCCCACACGCGTCCTGAACCGGAGGCTGTTGTAGCTCTCTGAGGGGCATCTGTAGTGGGGTTCTTTCCCCTTATTCCTTGGTGAAGTGCAGCCTCTGTCTAATTGCTGTATTTTCTTCCCCCTTCCCATCAGTACTCACCGGGAGAGGTGGATATAATCTAGGAGATCCAGCTGAGGTGGAATCCTGACCAGAGGTCTCCATCGCTGGGATCGGAGCCTGCCAAAATGGCGGCCCTACAGTCTCCACCCGAGCTGGCGGAATCACAGAGGCTGCTGCAGGAACTTCACCTGTCTCTAGATCCGGCACTAAGGCGGCCTCCAGTCCTGGTGGAGCACTGGGTGGCAGGTATGTCGTCATCCAGGGTGGGGGATGAGGCAGGTCATCCCCGTCCAAATCCTGTAGAATTTGTTTTTTTATCATCAGTCAATTTTTTTTGCCATTAATATTTTTACCTTTCCCTTCTGGATACAGAATCTCATCCAAAGAGGAGGGTCTTGAGCTAACCCTACCCATGAGTCAATATATGGATATTGATCCGAATGTTCCAGCTCTCCTGTGACTACTCTATAGACCGCTTCCACTATTTTTAAGTGCATGGTGTCCTCTGGTGGTCATCCTACTCTGATAGGGGTTCATTTGACCTCACAGAGTATGTGGAAGTGGTTAGGCATCATCTTCACCCCATGCTGCTGCTGGTAAATCGCTTCAGTTTTGTCCGACTCTGTGTGACCCCATAGATGCCAGCCCACCCGGCTCCTTTGTCCCTGGGATTCTCCAGGCAAGAACACTGGAGTGCGTTGCCATTTCCTTCTCCAATGCATGAATGCATGCTAAGTCACTTCAGTCGTGTCCAACTCTATGCGACCCTATGGACAGCAGCCCTCCAGGCTCCTCTGTCCAAAGTATTCTCCATGCAAGCATATTGGAGTGGGTTGCTATTTCCTTCTCCCTTTTCACCCCATAGTCTCCTCCAAATCCTTTCTTTAAATTTTTAATCATGCACTTCAATACAGTTGCCTTAGTTTCATATCCTCCATCTTGCTTACCTTCTTGGACTGTCTATTTCCTTTTCCTTTTCGTTCTGTCTACGAGGTTCTTGGTAGCTTATATACTTATTTTCACTCAATGAAACACATATTGTCATTCCACCTCCTTCTTAATTGGAGTGAGACAAGCCTTACCTGCCAGATCCCAGAGGGAGAAGGGGGATTGGCATGTCTTCATCTGCCTGTCAGCACGGCTGAACCAGAACACCATGTGGTCCAAGACTTTCTCCCTTAACTTTTAAAGTCCATTCTTCCTTGGTGGGCTTGATCAGGTGCAAATGAAAACACAGATGAGTTAAATACACACATCCCAGGCCGTCTCTGGAAAAGCCAATTCATACTCACTTATATATCCCCTTCCTTCTAGCCTGACAATTCCGAGGGGGTCAAGAATTTCACAGCAGATGGGACACCTCCTTGGGGGGGGGGAGCAGAATACGAGCACACAAAGACCAAGTTTCTTCTCCTAACAATCCCCTGGCAAATGCTTGGTAATAATTTTCCCTAAGAAGGCTTGGACACCACCTCCTAAATGACATTCACAAATTTCCTTCCTAAGCCCTAACACACTTGTCAACCTGTGTACCAAGCAATCATTGCTGCCTGCCTATTCCAGGCTCCTGTGGGTCCCAGCCCCTTCTAGTCCCTCCCAGGGCGGGTGATCAGGCCCCCTCTTCCACCCTGCCAGGTGGGTTCCTCCTCACCTGAGCGCTCAGTTCCCCTGCTGCCATCCACTACTTGCTAATGAAAAAGGACCGGGCATTGAGAAGCAGAATCCTTCCAGAAGGGAGAGGCGCCTTCCCCCCTCTAGAAGATTCAACTCGCAAGGCCTTGGAGTAGTCCCAAATGGGACTTGTCTCCTCACAGTGAGGAGTTTCCCTGCCAATGCACCAAATGTTGTAGCCACGCATTCCCGGAAACAATGCAGAATGCAGATAGTGGGGTGCAGTTTATAACACCGGGGGCCCAAGGCAGAGTCTCTTCTTAGCCAAGGACCCTGACCAGTTTTTGTGAAAACCTCATATACTCTAAGTGTAAGTGCCCAAACCCACCTCCCCAAATTCTCTGAAACTAGTCTGAGCAAAGGAAAAGAAAGATATAAAGTTAACCCATGATTCATATGCCTTAAACTCATGATTTGTATGCCTTAAGCTTAGATATTTAACAGTGGACAATTATCAATAGGCCTGTGGTCATACCCCAATAAGCCTAATAGGATTTATGATTCTATTTGGTTACACAGATAATTAGGGTATTCTTTCAGGCGGCAGAGAGTCTAGGTACAAACCCTGGGGCTCTTCCATCCTGGGAGTCTGGTTTTCCAGTTGGTATGTTGTTTCCATTGATACTGGGCATCTAGCTCAAAGTCCACAGTCCAGTCCAAGATGGAGTCCTACTTTCAAGACAGAGCCTGTTCTATCTGTTACCTCCTTCAGTTTAATTTAATTTGCTTGGATGGTTCCTATTGTGATATTAAGTTGAATAGTGTGTAGACTTTATTGTATGTTTCTAACAACTGTTAAGCTTTATTTTGGCTGGCAGTTAAGGTATTTGTCAATAAGTTTGACCATTTCAGGGCATTTTTTATGCTTTTCAGAAGATTGGTCTAATAGGAGCCATCACTATAAGATTGGTTTAACCATTTTGTGGTGACCATGTGTTTCCTACTGAATACCTTGGCTAATTTAAGAGTTTTCTTCAGTCTAGCTCCTCAGATTTCCTATGCCAACTGGCCCTTCATGAACTGTATGAAACTCTAAGGTTACATTGTCTTGTAGCTGTTTATCCAATAACTGGTCTTTGCCTAGTCTTGTGGAAGCTTTCAGTATGAAAATTCAGCTAAGTCAATGTGTAACTGCATCTCCATTTAGAGTTTAAAGACATCCAGACAGAAATGTTAATGAATCCATAGTTCAAATTCTAAAAATAATTTTCTGTGTATCTTTCTCTTCTTAGTAATCTATCCTACAAATTCCAGTTGCCTTATTTTCCTCAAACCCTCAGCAAGACAATCATGATTTGCCTATCATTCATGAGAGGCAGGAAATTACCCTCAGTTGGAAGGCAGGCTCACCTAGTATGTTTCCTTTCTTGCAGAGATCATTGCTGTGTGCAATCTTTTATCTAATATCTAAATACATAATTTCTTTGTATACATTATTCAGGTTTTTAGATGTTCTCTTGAGAAAGTATGTATGATACTAGATATTTTACCACAGGGAATAGAAGAAATATGAATGCTTTAAAAAGTTTTTAAAAATAATGTACAAAATTTTGAAATGCAAATCATGGAAGAAAAATGTGTGCATTTCTTATAAATACACTTTGAATATCATTTAAGGATATATTTTTACACACAGTAACTTTGTTTATGCTTGCATTTGTAAATTATGCTGTACTGGGTGAACAGTGTCCCCCCAAATTCACATTTATCCAGTAGTTGTTAATGTAAACTTACTTGGAAGTAGGGTCTTTGCAGATGTAATAAAGCTAAAATGAGATCACTGAGTTAGTGTAGGACGTAACTCCAACGTCTGTGGTTCTTATAAGAAGATGGAAATTTGGACACACAAGGGGAAGACATCCATGCTAAGACAGAGGCAAAGCTTAGAATGATGGGGCTACAAACCAAGGAATGTCAAGTATTGCCAGCAGCTTCCAGAAGCTACATAAGAGATGTGGCATAGTTTCCCTTGGAGCTACCAAAATGAACCAAATCTTGATTTCAAACTTCTGTCCTTCAGATTGTGAAATAATTAGTTTCTGTTGGTTTAAGCTAGAAAATCTGTAGTAATCTGTAGGAAGGTAGTACATATGATATTGAATATAATGTGCAAAATATATACAATGTGCATCATTTTATAAGATTTTATAATAACTTATAATAATTAAATAAATTTTAATTGCTCTTAAGTATATGCTTCCATATAGCATTTAATTATTTCAGAGTAATTCACTGTATGATTTTCTACTATCAATCATCTATTATTAGACATTAAGATAGTTTTCAATTGTTTTCTTATCTTAATAATGCCATATAAAACATGATTGGAGAGAAATATTCCTTGTAACTTATAATTATTTCCTTAATTTTTAATTCCTAAAATGTACTTAGTGTGAATATTTTCAGATTCCTGAACAAATATTTTTAAATTTCCAAAAAGTAAAAACTTGAGAATGTTTATATCCGAACATTCGAGACAGCACAAAGCACAATCCCTTATATTAAACTTTGCTGTTTAGATACCTGAATGATAAAACAAAAATCCATCATTGCCTTGTTGTACATTTATTAGATTACTAATAAGGTTTAGCATTTTTATATGTTTTATGCAATTTCTGTTTCTATATGTTCGGTTTATGTAGTTCTTTTACAGAAAATTTGTATACTGGGCAATTATATTAATTTGAATTATAATAAATTTTTATTTATTTAATATTTGGGGGTTGGGGATTCTCCTCCTTTAATCATAGAAGCTATATTCTATACTGCATTTGCAAATTTAACACAGTTTAAGACTCAAAAGTAAGAACAGCTATTATAATCAACTATATTTCCTTGGATTTTAATTTAGTTTTTTTTTTTCTAAATTTTAAAAATGTTTTAACTGGAGGATAATTGCTTTGCAATGTTGTGTTGGTTTCTAATGTACAATAATATAAACCAGCCATAGCTATATATATGTTTCCTTCCTGTAGAGTCTCTTCCACCCACCCTTGATCCCACGCCTCTAGGTTGTCACAGAGCACCAGGTCAGGCTCCCTGTGCTATACAGTAGCTTCCACTAGCTATCTATTTTACACGGTAGTATATATATACATATATATATATATATAAATGTTACTTTCTCAATTAGTCCCATCTTCTCCCTCCCCCACTGAATCTACAAGTCTATTCTCTACATCTGCATTTTATTTTATTTTTTTGGTTTAATTTTAGATTCCAATTCATAAGTTCAGAAACATTGTTTAAAGCTGTATCTCAATCTGCACAGATTTTTTCATGTATGTCTTTGAGATGTTATGTCTCTGTAAATATGAATAAATTTACATATACACACATATGTAATTGACAGCATTGTGTGTGTGTGGGTGCATGTGCTCTATCGAGTCAGACTTTTTGATACCTCATGGACTGTAGCCCACCAAGCTCCTCTGTCCATGGAATTTTCCAGGCAA